ATAACAGATGGACAACTTGAAGGATATACAACTTCAAGGTACCCACAAAATGTTAGGAGAGTGAGAGGAAAGCCTCTAGTACATTTCAGATCCCTTATATGAGGACCTCTTAGAAGTGGATTATGGAAATGATAATACATATAGTAATCACAAAGGATGGGAAGCCACATATGGGTTGTGATTTTCATCAGAGGTAGAAGTGTTGCCATTTGCAAGATCACGGATCCAGGTTATCTAGTTTCAAAAATGAGAAACTGTGACCATTTTCTTTTTAAGCTAAAGATCTCAGAATGAATGGGGGGGAGTAGAAGCCTGGTGTTATTTAGGAACATAAACTCTTGAATCAAAAAAGTAACTATTTAAAACTGAGCTTTAGCAGAATCAAAGCATCAGTTGCCAAATGAAATGATGCGATTGTGTTCACAAACAATGGTACTAAAGAACTTATTTTGAATGGAAAATTTCACTGTTATATTCAAATTCCTTTCTCATAATTAAACCATTGTTTTTCTTAAATGTTAGACAGTTGAATATATGCCAGAGAAAGACAGATACAAATTGAGATCCTTTTATACAGGTACTTCTATCAAGGAGGAGCTGGGTCAAAGGCACTGACTCAATCTTCCCTTATGGCATGAAACATCTTCTAATGATTGTAGAAAGTTAACACAGTTCGGTGAGTTTGAGACTCAAACTCTAGCCAGCTTATTCACGCTTTAGTAACTGAATCAATATATGCAAGTGAACTAAAACTAACTCTTCCCCCCAAATTGCAACTGTTTTGCATCAATGTAAGTTTATCTTTACTTTTCACAAGACACAATGTTAAAAGGGTCATATTTAGAACAGTAACTCAAAACAGATTAGATGAAGCTTTTAAAAGAGGTGCTCATTATGCGCACAAGTGAGATTAGCTGCTGTTCTACCTGAAATGTTAAAAAATATTAAGCCACAGCAGACAGAAGCCTTTCAAAGGGTTGGAAACCACTAAGTTACTAAAAAAAAGTTTAGGAAAATCATTTCATTATATGAAGCCTTGAGGGATGAAGCTGTTTGCAATTTATTTACTTCTGTTACTTCATTAAATTTGTTTAGTGATGGAACAACATTTAAAAGTCTTTAAAAACATCAGCCCAAATAGTTTTTAAAAACCAATTACTTAAAAGAGCTGGTGGGTTTTTTTTTCCCAACTGAAGTAACCTGAACAATGTAAACATGCACATGTCTCTTTTTATTATTATTTTCTGAGGCTTTTTGGCTCCTTGAACACAGTACTCCATTGACTACAGCAGTCTAGCCAGGTTTTCAGACCCCTTGTAACTAGGGCACATAATGTGAATTATTTTCATTAGATTTTGGCTTTTTTTTTAATCTTTTAAAAGGTGGCAATGATGTATTTCTCCCTTAACATGTCTCCTCTATCAAAGATGCTGAAATAAAACTCAGAGGAAAACCCTGAAATGCTCAATGATGTATACTTCAAAAATACGTCCTCTTTCCTAATTATCTCCCAAGTCTAAACAGCTCAACCCCACTATCTTATCCACTTGATCTGTCAATTAACTATGGAGGCTACATTTTGTGTCATCACAAATTTTCAGGACAATTGATTGACCTAACTACAAAACTATGCCTTCACTGAGTTTGAATCAGAAACTAAGATTCTGGAGTACGATGGTTAAAATAAGTTTCAAAACAAACATTACTTAGCACTTAAATTTTTTTATTCTGATTTTCCCTAACTCTATCCTGTTCCTCTAACCTGCTGTAACCAGTATACTAGTTGAAAAGAACCATTATGAAGTTATAGGAAACAAATAAAAAAAGAATATTTTACTAATCTTTTCATTTGGGAGTCAAAAATCAAAATGTTTCATTTATTAGGCTTGCTTTTATTAAATGTGCAGATTTCTAACCCACTAATCTAAGACCTATAAAAGAAAACTTTCCCACTATTATATTAACAGAATAACATACAATATGAAAAAATCAATGGAGGAGTGTTTCTCTTCTCCCTGCATTTAAAAATACAGGTATAAAACAATAGCTTACTTTTAAAGTGTTGCATGGAATATTCACTAAGGTAAACAGTTTACCTTGATATTAATAATAAAATGAGAATAGATTCTTTTTAAATAAGAGTTTTCACAAAACCAGAACATCTTAGAGTTGGACGGTCTCAGAGATCACCTAATCATCCAAAATGAAACTCTACAAACCCTTATATAACATACCTGACAAAAGTCCTAACAGCCTCAACAAGACCTTCTATCTCCTTGTTCCATTTTTTGATAACTCAATAGCTACAAAGTTCCCCCACCCCCACCCCACCTCCCAGCCCCTTAAATCAAATCTCCATTTGCCTTTTTTACAACTTCTACCCATTGTTCTCTAAGTCTTGCCAAACTTAGGGAAGGGCCTAACAGAAGGCCCAAATTAATTTGGGCCAAACAGAAGTAACCATCCATCCTCCAAGTAAAGCTGGGTCCTTCATAAACTTTGAAGACAGCTATCCTATGGCATACCTCAGCCCCTCCTGTCTTCCCTTCTCCTGGCTAAACATGCTAACATCCCCAGCTCCTTTAACCAATCCTTATGTACATGATCTCAAGGTCTTTCATCCTGGTTCAATTATTCTGGACACCAAAGGAGAATCTTGTCTAAAGATAGGTAGAAACTGTTGTCAATGTATAAGAAACTATTTACCATCTGTATGACCCTGACCAAGTCACCTAACCTCTCAGTTTCCCTATATATAAAATAAGGGAGTTGGACATGACATTTAAGCCATGACTTAAATAACTTCCACTTCTAAATCTACAATTCCAAGCTTCTTTCCCAAGATGACTCTCTGAGGGGTTCTAAATATCTGTTGATCCCCTAGGCCACTTCTTAGCTGCCTAGAGAACCTGGTTTCTTGACTTGGCTCCTTCTTATTGCATTCAGGCTAATTTCTGTGCTACATACATTTTATTCTATTCTACAGAATTGGCACAGAAACAGGAAAGTTTAACAGTTCATTTTATTTGGCACATGCTTTCAGCTGTCACAGAAGAGGTTTTGTCTCATCCAGCCTAATTTGATGCCCCACCACCTGAATGACTGGTTTCTGAGAAATTGCCAGTCTAACTGACCAACCGCAATGTTCTTTTTCTAATCTACACTAAAGGTCATTTACATCATCTCTCAACTCCCCTTCCGGGGTTCTAAGGTTCTAAGCATGTGATTTTACTCCATATTTCAAACAGCATCCTTGAAAGAAAAGTGAAAGATCTAACTGAAATTAGCTTTTCAAATCATACCCCTACTGAGCCATCCATTTACACATGGAGAAGTATTTGGAGTGACTGCCAAATATAAAGCAAATACAGGATGAGACAGGGGCACATAAAGAGGGAAAACTATGCATGGGCAGAACCTTCCTTTTTCAGCTGTAGGAGTCTTTTAGGAAGGATCTTACAAGAGACAGATTAAAATAATTTTACTTAGAAAATTACAGTCTTTCATAGAGTTGGTCAATGTATACAATCATTCTTTGAGTTCCCAGATATGGCTACATCAACTTCCCTGGGAAAGGTTTAAGTGAGACTCTCATACCATCCTCTGGACTTGTGTCAAAATGAGACTATAAACCTGTAAAAAACGTTCATCCTCTATTTGGCTTGTTTCTGTTAAAGGGGCAATAGGGGAAAAGAAAAAAATTCATAGTATCCAAAGGTCCGAAGGTTGTGGGTGGAGGGGTGGTAAGGGGAAGAACAGGCCTCCTTAAAATAGCAGATAACCAACTCAGAGAAAGAGGACATCATGAAGACAGGACAGATGGCATTAAACTCTAATGAGTTAAGTAACTCTTTCAGTCATTAGCTTCAGAACTGCAGCTTGTGTTAGGGATCAGTAAGAGCTTATTTGTCTTAAGACAATTGGAAGCAGCATCCCGTCTATTCACCAATTCAAAACTGAAAGAATATGTTGTTGTTAAGCATAATCCAGTCGGCTACAAAAAAAAAACCGCTAAAGGGGGAAAAAGTCAAGCCACATTGTTGCAAAAATTTCCCCCATCTTGATTGCAGTTTAAAATAGCCAAATACCACTTCTACCCCCTCAAAAAAAAAAAAGCCATCAAATTTAAGTTTCTAAAGGTTAAAGAACTATCTCAACTTGAAAAAGGTTGGGTAATGCAAAAGAATCGGTTCCCTTTTACGCAAACAGTTCAAATACCATTACTACCTATGCATGTAAATATCCCTGATTTGCGGTCAGTTCTGTAATCTAAACTACAAACATTTCAAGAGCACCATCTCTGGTATTAAACCAATATTTTCACACTGGGGTAGGGGTGGAGATTCAGCATCCCTTCTTTAAAGGGCACCATTAGGCAAAATTAAACACACACACACACACACACACACACACACACAGAGCTCAACATTTCTCCCCTGAAGAGGAAAAAGATTTTCAGAATACTAAATTCGGTATTTTGATAGCGTTGTACAAAACTAACCTAGCCATCAGTGCACCTCCACCTTTGCACGCTCCCCTGAGCATTAGAAAATGAGACATAAAGACCTCCAACTGAAAGTTTAAATGGCACCAAGCAAAGGAAAAGAAGTTTCCCAGGAGTAAGATCTCCTAGCCTACAGAGTTGGTGACCGATGGCCCACAGTAAGCCTGAAAGGGGGGGGGGGCTAAGTAGGAGGCAATGGAAGGGAGAGGGAGGGAAGATTGATGATAAGGGGCTGACAAGAAGAGAATTCAAATCATTCACCCAGGAGTTGCAGGAATATCCCAACCCAAGGGGATGGAAGAGGAAGAGGAGGGATAGTTGGAAAGGGGCAAAGAGAGCCGGGGGAGCGGCAAGAAAAAGGTCATGGGGGAGGGGGGGTCAGTAGGGGTGTGAAAGGTGGCTGGACAGAGGGAATTAGAAAGGGGAGGAAAGTAGTGCAAATCGGGAAAGGCCGTCGCTGGGGATGACGAGCCACGCGGGGGCCGGGGGCCGGTACCTGGGGGCTCCTTTCGGCTGGGTTCTTCATCACCGCCTGGCGGAAGCTGTTATCCACGTAGGACGCCATCTCCCCCCTGCGGGGCCGGGCTGGGGCTGTTCTTCCCAGCACCAGCAGACCTTCGCTCCGGCCCCGCTCAGGCTCAAACGTTTCCTCCGTCTCTCGATCCGTCCGCCCGCAGCGAAGCAGCGCAGCAGCGCAGCCGCAGGGGGCCTGGGGCGCAGGGTCCGCAGGGGGTTCCCGCGGACACTGGCCTGGCCGGGCCGGGCCAGGGAGTGGGGAGGGGAGGGGAAGAGAGGGCAGGGGAGGGGAGGAGAAGGGAAGAGCGGGGAGGGGAGGGAAGGGGAGGAGATTGGGGGAGGGGGGAGAAGAGCAGAAGGCGGCGCTCCTAACGCTGCCGCGGCTGCCGCTGCCTCTGCCTCCGCCTCCGAGGCCGCCGCTCCCGGGCCTCTCAATCCCGGGGTACTTCCCAGGGCCGGGATCCCGAGTAGCCCAGTCCCCGGAAAAGCTCTCCCTGAATCTTCGCGGACCCTCAGCCTTGGGCCCCGGGCGAAGGGAGCAAGAGACCGGGCTGGGACGTAAACTCTTCCTTCTCCCCTTCCCCCTAGTTTAGTCTCGGAGGCTTCCTGGCGCGCCCGGCTCCCTCGCTGCCGGGGCCAAAGACTCGGACACGCCTCCCCCGGCTCCTCTCGGGTGACAGTGGCGGCTCCTCCTGTCCCCGCCGGGGCTGAGTTATTTTTAGGGAGGTGGGGAGTGGTAGCTGGGAGGTGAGGTGGGGGGAGAGTAAAAAGAGGAGAGGAGAGAAGGGCGGGCAGACTGGGCCTGGTGGCCCCTCCTGGGGTGGAGATCCCGCTGCCCCGGAGGCGCTCCGAGGTCTCAGGGAGTCAGGGCTCTCAGCTCGCGCCCCCTCCCCCAAATCTCCCCCGGGAGTCTCGGCGCCGCCGCAGCGACTGGCCCGGGAGGAAGGAAAGGGAGAGGCGAGCTCCTTCGCTGGCTCTCAAGTCTGGCCGCAGCGAAGACCAGTCGCCAGCACCGCCGCCGCAGTCGCCGCCGCCGCTCCTCCGAGGCTTGGTCTACTCGGCTCTGCCGTCCCCCCGGACTGCTGCTGCATCCCCCCGGGCTACTCTGCCGCCACCGCCGCAGCCTCCCCGGCCGCTGCCGCCTCCGAGGTCTCGGCAGCCGCCGCCGCCTGCCCCCATCCAGAAGCCCGGGGAGGGAGGCTGTCCCGGCCCGGGCTCTGCAGCAGGGAGCGCACGCAGACTGGGCTGCAGCCCCTCGGCCCCAGCAGCTCTCGGCAACTTTGTTCCTCGCCCGTCTGGGGAAAGGGGGAGGGAGGCGCTGCAGGCGGCTGCCCAGGCACTGGGGGGGAAGTCTCCTTCAGGCGGGGTCCGAGGGTTCGAGGAGTCTCTTGGCCAAGAGCGGAGCCAAGCAAAGCCCCCTTGTGTGAGTGTTTGTGAAGCAACTACTCCCCTCCTCCTCCTTCTTCGGCGCCTTCTCCGGCCGCCGCTGGAGCCGCTCCTTAGGGAGGAAGCGGCCTCCAAGGCTTGTTGCTTTGTGCTGCAACCATGGTGAAGAGTGAGTGACACCAACAGGGCGAGTCCAGGGCCAGCAGCATCATACCGGGGGAGGGACTGAGGGAGGTGGCTCTGGGCCCCGAGCCTCCAGCCCCTTCTTGTTACTCCACCCCTCTCCCTCCTCCAGTCAGCTCTCTGCCGCCTCCTTCTCCGTCTAGGTTGCACCTACAGCCTTCGCTCCAGGTAAATTGAGTGCAGTCCCAGTGGGCCAACGTGGCTTAGTGGAGCCAGCCTTTCTTCATGTCCTGCATTCTTTTTCTTCCCAGGCATTCATTCTGCCCGGAAGGAACCTGGTTCCTTTGGACACGAGACTGCTTAAGCACTTTACAAAGCGCCCTACTTTCCCCTAGGGTAGACTCAAATATAAACACATACATCACCGTGCTGCCTCCTCCATAAGCCTCTTCCCCCCTCCATCTCCTGTTTCCCTTCTGGGGTTCTGATCCTGGGAGCTTTCCCAGGGTTTGAAGTCCAGAAAATCTGAAATTTGCCAAACAAGAGAAAGAAGGCATCACTTCTGCAAGTTAAACACATTCGATTGTTTACCTAGAATTTGGCCTGGAGGCTCCCTGGGGAATAATTTCACTGGATCTTGTAGCATAGATTTAAAAAATTAAATTAAAAACTTTCCTCACACCCTTCGCCTTCCAGTCGTCTAAATAATCACCCGAAGGGCTATAGTATATGCCAGATAGGGTCCAGCACCCCCAGAATTAGAATCAGTTGTCTAGTCAAACCCTCTGGTTTGACAAATGAGGAAACAAAGCCCCTGAGAGGTTGAGTGACATCCAAAAATTAATTATTGAGAAGCTAAGAGCAATAAATTCTATTATATCTTTATTAACTATTACAGCTAGAGTGTCTATGTTTTGTCTGAAAACCCTTCACTGTATACAGAGACTTTCTCCTCAGGCTCACTTGATGCAGACTAGGACATTACCTGGTAGGATATGAAAATTTATTTTCTCTCTATACTCTCCCTCCTCTTCCCTAATTTGTCTGTTCTCCTTCCCCACATGGTGCTTGCTTTTGTGCCCATTTGTGCACTTTACCGAAAGACAAACATCTAACAGGAAAAAGGAAGTCAGTCTGGTTCTCACTGGCTGTTTTTCATCTGCAGATGTTTTTGGTGAATGAGTGGGTGGTTGCTGTGTCTTCAGGAAAATTTTTACATTTTAAAAACTAGCATTTTACCCAAATAAGTTTGCTTTTCAAAATGGTGAAATCACCTTTAAAAAACCTGTTCATTTGACTCTTTCTTAGTCCAGTCAGCTCCTATTTGGGTGCCTTTCAGTGGTGCTTTATGTCACTTCTGTAGGCACTAAGGAAAGGGTCCCATATAGAGACTATACAAAGGGGCAGTCTCTTCTGGCTGGGTATGAAACTGAAAACCCAATTTAAACTTTTATCTTTCCACTATTTTGTACCACTTTTGCTAAAACTACTCTCTCTTGACTCTTTCACGTTTCTGATAAACCCTGCAATTCAGGTGGAGATACCATCAATTTCAAAGCCTTAATTCATTTAAATATAGTGATTTTGAACTGCTCCAATGACCTCAGGTAAGGGAATAATCTTTTGTCTAATCCACCCACAAAATAACAGCTACTAAACTGTCATTTAACTTCAATTACAACTAATTTTTCCTCTTTATAATCTCTACCAATCTAAGCATTTCAATCATACTTATCACAACTCCGAATCTTATGGGTCTAATCTAATATTGGCACTCATTGCCATTTTATTAATGTTTAACTTTTGAGTACCAACAACGTGACAGGTGCCACACAGAAGACAGAATTAGACACAGACCTGCCCAGAAAATCTGAAATCTAACAATAACCATAACAATAGACCACAACTAAACTGAACCATCCATTAGGTGTCCCATAAAGACCTGTCTTAAACTCCCTCTAAATATCTCTTTTCTTCTACCACCATCATTGGATTATAGAATTAGAGTTGTAAAGGTCCTTTGAGACCATCTAGTCCACCCCACCCCCACTATTCAGTGAAACTGAGGCCTAGGTTAAATGACTTAACCAAAGGTAGTAAGTGATTGTGCCCGAATTCAAACCTAAATTCTGTGGCTCTGATCCTGCACTTTCTTCACTTTCCTTTCATTGGCTCCCATTTGTCTATGAGAATACAAAGCAGCAGAAGTATGGGGAGGTAGGCCATTTTCAAGTACCAGCCCAGGTATAAAAGTGGAGGCTAGAAGAGACCATAGTGATGACATAGACCAACCACCTCATTTTGCAAATGAGGAAACCGAGGCTCAGAAAGGAAAAGGAACATGCAAACTAGCATAGCAAGACAGAGCCTAAACTAGAAACAGCTTTCTGACTCTCAGGTCAGCATGATTTCTACTATATGATCCTTACCAACCTGAATCTTCATGTGCAAAATTTAGGAAGCACCTGGCTCCTCAAAGGTTCCTCAAGGAACACTACCTGCCTGAGTTTTTTAAAAGTGAAATGAAATCACTGAAAAGTAATACCTTTAAACAAGGACGCTTATTGTCTATGGCCTTGGAAGGGGTGAGTTGGTATGGTGGAATCAAATGCAATGCAAATTAGACTAGTTTTTCCTCAAAAGGTATTGAAACCATCCTTAAGACTTGATAGGCTCTATATCAGATTGCATGCCATCTTAGGGAGGGGGGAGCAGAGGGAGGGGAAAAAAATTTAGAAGTCAAAATCTTATAAAAATGAATGCTGGGGGCAGCTAGATGGTGCAGTGGATAGAGCACCAGCCCTGAAGTCAGGAGGACCTGAGTTCAAATATGGCCTCAGACCAAACATTTGACCCTTACTAGCTATGTGACCTTGGGCAAGTCACTTAACCCCAATTGCCTAAGGGGGAAAAAAAAGAACGGAAAAAAAAGTGAATGCTGAAAACTAAAAATAAATAAATCAATTAAAAAAAAAAGAAACAGCAGACCAAAACCAAACAAACAAACAAATAAACAAACTTGATAGGCCCAGAGGGCCAAAGGCTGAGGCTGTTGATGTCACTTCCTGTTCTGGAGTAGAAAACAGCCAGAATACCTCCAGGGCATTCTTATGATTGACTAGTGGAAAACAATAAGTTACTCAGGCAAGGAAAGTTCACTGGGCTAAATCAACTTGGAAGAGTCTTCAGTGGCTCCTGCTGTGGTCAGTTAATCAGTCGATTAGTATTAATGAAGCACCTACTATATGCCAGGCACTGTGCTCTATACTGGGGGTACAATGACTTAAGAATAACTAATTCGTTTCACTCCATTATCTAACATAAAATACCTAGGGACTGGGCTTGAGACAAACCTAAACAAATACAGGGAGAATGAGGATAGGAAGAGGCATCTTTCATAACCCTATCAGTTAGTTCTTCCTGTGGTCACCCAGTTCCCACTTCAATTTGTTTTTGCACCTGCTTTCAATTTAGTGGGCAAAAGCCAGTGTTGGTATGTGGGAGTGAATTTACCAGCTTGGTACAGTGTAAAGAGGACTATCACTAGAATCAGAGATGTGGCTTCAAAATTCACCTCTGACATTTACTATCTATGTGACCTTAGGCAAGTTCTCATCAAAAAATAAAGAATTTAGATTAGATAACTACT